TTCCAGATAATATAGAAGGTAACACTGAAATTCTCAAATAATCTAGTACCTATACTAAAAAATTTATAAAAAACCTCAAAAATCCAAATTATTCAAATAAAATTCTAATCGTTACGCTCTTGAATCGAATCAGTAAGGGTTTTCCATCCATCTGTCACGTGTCAACAGAAGTTAGAATCTGACGAGGGACATTCTTTTTTTTAACTCTTTGAAAAATGCATGCAGAACGAATGGCGATCAAAAGGTACACGAGGTTGATTGAACGATTCAATGGACAGGAATTTTATGTGTGTCGCTCACGTGCATTCGATGCGCTAGGACGTTTTAACAGCGTTTAAAAGAAATGCGTTAAAAAACCTCTCAACGAGGAGGGAGAGTAAAATATTTCGGTTTCATTTTTTTTCTTGTTTTAAAATAACACGGCCCCTTTCAAGACTTCTCTTTTCCCGTATTAATCATTCAGAGTAGGGATGAAAAAAATGCTACCAATATTTCCTCGTTCGCACTAACCGCAGCCCCTAAGAGAAATACCAGGAGGTGTTTTTTTAAAGGTTTAACCTACTTCCGAATTTCCGGGGCTCAGTTAATTCCGGTATAACAAATTGCTTGTTACAGGCGACAAATTCACGCTCAAGTTACACCTGTTTTATTTTTATGAATTAATTACGTCCGTGGATTAAGTTTAATATTCCATTATTGGTTTATAAATTAAAAGGTTCATAAAGTACTTATTTGAAAATTATTCCATTTTACGAGTTTTGTATAGAAACTTCCGATTGTTTTTTTATTAAATTTAGAATACATTATAAAAGTTCTCTTCATTCACAACTAATATTGCAGTTGTGAAATGACTTCGCTTAAAGTTAGAAGTGTAAATAATTAGCATAAGTTTGTATGTAAATGCCAGGGGATATTATTATGTCTCTGTAGAATAGAACACGTTAAACTAGCGTATGCTATTTTAGTATTTACACCGCACCGGTCATAAAAATCATACTAGATAATGAAGTTTTAGCTTGTATACAAATTTCACAACAAAGTATTTGCTATATTAGGTAAAAGTGTATGCCTTATTCCAATTATAAACACCTAATAACACGACTTCCTGTACTTCTTCGATCAATTTTTGTTTCATCCATTTCTTCGCCAGTCAATTACGTTTTTTTAAGATAACGTACGTTATAAATGATACAAATTTTCGACCACCAATTATTTTTAAATTAAATTTATTTACCATGACCGCCGAGGTATTTATTGTAGCACATCTGCCAAAATTCGCTGCCTACCGAACAACAAACGGCTCATTAAGTTTCTTCACGCTTCTTCGTTCCAATATTGTGTTCTTAGATGAAAGGCTCGTTCTTTAGAACTAATAGAATTTACATATGCCGGACTTGTTTCAAATTAGGAACTCTTCATGCGAAGCTCAATACATACGAGAATAAATACGTTCGATTAATATTAGCGATTTTTTATACATGGTAGGGTAAAAAATGTTTACAGAAAATATTGGGAACTTAAATGTATGTCGATACATTATGTATACAGCTTTTTCTACAGCTTTTTCTTGCCTAGGTTCTCGATTAGGAACTTTCCCAAAACTTCTCCATAACCATAGAGGAACGTACACATACATGTGACGTGTATAGGTATGGCGTTGGCGAACTTCTCGCAGGCAATTAGCTGGAAGTGCTTACAAGCGCGAAAGACATTTTACTTTTGCAATTTGACGTGGCAATTAAAACTTTGTCACTAGCGCTGCGACGGAGAGACGATTTTATCCCGAGAGCGATTCCGGCGTGGGTTCGCCGCCGGGGAAAGTTGCGAACGTTCGCGAAATTCGTCCTGCCGACTTGCTCCAACGGGATAGACGTTCGATGTTTGCGGTTTTCGTCGAATGGCCGGCGGTTTTCGGGTGGAAAACGTAAGGGTTGATTGCGTACTGTCGCCATCAGCCCTTTAGAATTGGATTATTTATAGAATTCTACAATGTATAACTGCCTAGAGCGATATTTAAAGCAACATAATCAATCGTCTTGTAGCTAAAGTACTATGTGCCCCAAAATTCTCCCCTTATCGCTTTTTATTATTTTCGTAATTGTGTAAATTCAACTCTGTAATTAATCGATTTCTTTCTAATCAATTCCAGCCTCATATTGTGTTATTATCGTGGTTTAAGTGATCATATTTATACGACCGATACGTTTAATGTTCCATTTGGCCCATAAAATTGATTTTACTGCCATTCCATGGGAGCGCCCGGAGTATAATTGTTTATTGTTTATTAATGTAATGCTCTTTCTATTTATCGACCGCATAAAGGTAGTAAAAGTTTATGTAGAGCATTTCCAACGAAACGCTGCTGATTAATTTTCACGTTTTTGAGTTGTAGTGCGGATTTTTATTTAGGGATGGAGTAGTTTTAGAGTGGAAGGAAACTGTACGGCAGCTCTAAAGAGTAGGTAATTGAGAGTTTGATAACTTTTAACTTGGAATTTAATTTAAAATTGACCCTTCGAGTTTTAACTTTAAGTGTTCCTCATCGAACTTCTGTAATTTAACTACACGATACTCTAATTCCCAAGTTTTATTCTAACAGATGCGATATTCGCACGGTTACTCTCAAGTGAGATACCTAATGTACTCTACTAGTTTTGGGTTCCTGTACATTCTTAGGTAGCAATTACACCCCTAATATCAATTCACAAATAACCCATTTAAGGTCTCTTTCACTCCACGAGCTTGAAAAGTATGGAGAAAGTTAAACGAAGTGTTGACCTTTCTTATTTTTAATTCATTAGATACGTTCTTTATAAGTCGAAGTATCGAGTTATTGTTCATGAAATAATCAATTATTTGTAACAAAAGCGGACAGGTGACTTTGACTTGCATAACTAATGCAATATACCATTACAAAAAAATGCCTGAAGCTACAAACAACTTTTAAGATCTCACACCCAGCTATAATTTGATGACTCAATAGGTAATATAAAAAAAAACGATTTAAATTAGTTTTATTTGTATCTCTGACAAACCTTGAGTAAGTACGTAATGCGTATTATTAAATCTATATTTACTTTTACCTAAAATGTACATGAACTAATTATAACGCGCTGTATTGCTCAATGCAAACGATTTTGAGGAGCGAAATGCCGCGAACGACCTCATTTCCGATCGAACACGGTCCCGTAAAAAAATTCAAACATTCGTTTCATCCTGACATTTAATTCAACCGTGCGTCGTCAGCGCAAAAGGAGGCCGGCGAGACCTTTTTGTATAAAGGGTCAATCAGAAAGGTTTCGCACCCGGGAGGCCTATATTTTACTTACAAATTGAAACGCGATATATCAACTTAATGGCGTAAAGCGACGACGAATGGATGGGACTCGAATTACGTTGTAACTAACAAAAAATGTAACGCGATCAAAGCTCGCGATTATGCTAAAAATTCGCAATTTATATACCCTCGGTTATTGAGCTATCGTGAATAAAATAACGAAAAAAATAATGCTAGTGGGAAATCATTGTTATCGTTAAAACAAACAAACATTACATTTCCTGCTCCCTATATATTGAAACCAAACACCCTGTACACGATTTGTTCACAAGTTATTCGCCCTCCACGGTCGCACGGTTTCCCTGGGGATGGAGTTTTTGGGTTGACAGTAGCCCACGCATACCGCCTACTATAGAGGGGTTAGGATTATTACGAAATGACTGGAAACCCCGAGGGAATTATTCAATCGTAGTTTACATACAAATCCCAATAGGTCGAGCAATTCCGTTTGAAATTGACGTGGCACGAGATATGTCGCAGCGATTTCGGATTCGTTGAATGTCAAGGTTGGTAAATCAAACGTAACCGAAAAAGGTTGAAGAAGACGGAGGGAATATTTAGGGTGGCTTTAATTGCGGGAAATTGGACCTTTTGAGTGAATAAAAAACGCCAAATAAAGGTTAGAATTTGGCCAATGACTCCACTCTGGTTCATTTACAAACTATTCTACAAACACCTTGTATAACAACCACAACGCAAACACATTTAATCAATAAAGGCTACTGGTAAAAAAATCGAGCATAAAAGCCCGAATCACTCCCAAAGAGGTAGAAAAAATTAAGGCACAAGGAAGCTGCAGTTCGGCTAAAAAAATTTCATTATCCCCCTTCTAGGTGAGCGTTCCTTTTTCAACAACCTCTCTTTGGCGCTTTTTCGGCAATTAGTCCCTGGCGAAAATAAACTCTAAGACAAAAGGGACGAAATCTGGGAGAAAAAGCCCCATGTTACGAACAAATGCGATGATGGATGTTCGACAAAAAATTTAACCCAAAGAGCTATTAATTTGCTCGGGGTTGCTCGGAAAAACAATTGGACTAATCTGAGGAATAATGAAACAGACTTCAGAGACACGGCCTTCTTGTTAATCTTATTGTTTCGATTTTCAATACAATTTTTTAGTTCGCGTTTAATTGATGTAGCAATTTATTTAATATACAAGTAATTAACTTGAATAGACGTTAATTTACTGATTTTTGTCATCAAATAAAACATTTGATTCAAATCTTTTCTACAAGAAGTTTTTAAATATTTCTTAAAGAAAAATTAATTTGTTGAAATAATTTTTTATAATTATATATTAATAATTATAAATATGGAAAAAAAGTATTTACTTACTCCAATAACATTCAATGCTGCTATCAAAAATAGTTTTCTTACCTGTAACAAAATGAAAAGTAGGTAAATTAATTTGATTGATATGAAACAAAAAAATATGTTTTTTTAAATGTTAGCATTGTTTGTAGAGACGATTTTAAAAACTAAACAAGTCCATTAAAAATACATGTTTGTGAACATTTGTACATATTTCTATTAAAACACATTAGTGAAAATAATAACACAATGATTATCCACTTATTTACTAACATGCAGTATAGAGTAAAAAATAATCAAAAACGTAGATTAAACTTCATTAAAGCATTATCTTAAATTAAAACGCATATTCATGAATCAAACAATTTTTATTCACTTGCAACAGATTAGATAACTTTTTTTTCTACAAGAAAAATTTAAAGAGAAAGAAAACAAAAATGTGAAATTATTTTTACACTGCGCGGCAAGTACAATTCAAATTGAAACTCAAGATTTCGACTTTTTTCTGCTCAGGTGGGTCCTTATTTATCGGCAAATATTCTGCAACGGTGAAATCATTGATTTTGATGATTGTAGTAGAATTGTTCTCTGCATTGAATGTTATAAAAAGTGAGACGAAATCTTCATCTTTTTCAGCGAGGACTCCGTGCCTGAGTAAAATAACAAGTTCTTCCCCCAACGTTTGGAGTGCAGCTTTGTCAGGGGTCCCTTCGAACTGGCGAAAAAGATGCGCGAGCACTTTAAACTTAGTGGTTTCCGGTTTGGTAAAGTTTTTGAAAAAGTAGGAGCCCAAACCGTCCAAGACGCCTTTTTGGATGTCTCTTTCAGAAAATTCATTTATTTGAAACTTACTGGCGAATGCTGCCTCCGAGACCAGGATGTTTATTTTCTTCGGATTCAAAACAGATCTGGATATTGTCAATTGATTACCTGTCCCGTAACTAATGGTAATACTACCATCATTTTCATGTTCTTCGATAGCAAGTGAAATCGAGTAGTGAAGAGATATAAAAAACACAAAAATTAATAACTTCATTGTAATACACTGGTATGTACCTAACTATTTATGTGCCTTTGATCGGTCGGTATTTATATAAAATTTTTATCGAATTGCAACGTTATTTACAAAAAATACCCCTTATCATTTTAATATTACAGTCGATCTTCAAACCGCAATGTCATAAAGCCACATGCTGTATTACACAAACAATATTTGCATTATTTAGAAAAACAAACATCCGTTAAAAACTGATAAATTATTCCAAATTATTGTAAAGGTGTAAACAATTATTTTTCTTTTCCAATTACAAAAGGGCATGCTTTTGATATTTTGTTGAAATTTGGTAGGCGCCCACCATGCAAGGAAACACTTTTTTTTGGGAACAAATATTAATTTCCTACTATTACCAGAGCCGTCCACGTCCGAAATTTTATAAAAATATCTGGAGTAATAAGAAAATTATGATAAAAAAGTAATTTTTTTCTAAAATTGTAACACCCTGTAGCTCGAAAACTAAAAGGTTTAACAAATATTTATATAAACTTTTCTTCTTAAAATCAACCAAATATTTACATTCTGATGTATCGGCACTCAATTAATTAACCCTCAATTTTTGGACAAACAGTATTTTGTGAAGTTAGTAATTTCAAAAACGCCGAAGGTGCGCCGCTGTATTAATAATAACAAGTTGACAAAATAAATAAGGCTTTCCCTCTTACATATCGCTAATGACTCGCAATCTAACAACTGCGATGAAACTACGAATCGAAGATACGGGAAAACTTCCCGTTTCTTGATTAAAATCTCGATCGTATACGCAGCGTCCCTATCGATAAGAAACGAGTTTTTCTTTTTTTTCGTAAACGTCGAAGCTCAACAGCCCGGCAACAAAGAGCCATTTATCCTCTACTACTGAACAAAAATTCGATAAAAATTAATTTAATCAAATTCACATTCTATTTCGAATTTCAAATCCACTCAACACCAAATAAATCGTATACTGAATAGCCGCATATCCGGTAGCAACTTATGGCATGCACCCGTTGGGAACAGGAATGACGCTAAAATAAAAAGAAGCAGGATAAAAAAAGGAAACCCATTCAACGTTCCCTGTACCACTTTAAATAAACTACGGCGTAATATTCGAAGCATTTGAATTGGTAATGCATGTAAAATGCACTACATTTTCAAATTAAACTAGGAAGTCTGCAATAAGATTTCTTTCCGTGGAGGGATATATTTTATTAGGCTCTCTTGGTAAGTGCAGGATAGTACTTAGGAGTAGGATTAGAGGTGTTTTTACTCGAAAGATTGGTTTCCTAATTAAATAAGTAGTTACCTACCTAATAAGGCAAATTGCTTATATAACTGGCCAGTTAATTAAAGAGTGTATATGTATATAAATAATCGGGCTAAATCAGTCTCTGTAAAAGACGGTTCATTAGGAAAAACGCACGGAAATCGCTTCTTTCCAAGAATTCCAATTAATTCATGAATTTTTACTTTTCCGTCCGTTAAATTAAAGTAGTTTCCTCATGGCAGAAACATCGCCTGTGCAGCGAGTACACAACCTCGTCAGCTCCGGCCTTCCCGTCCCGTCTTAATGCTTAATGAAACTTTTTAATTTACATTTTGAATTTTTAAGTGTAGCAAATCGCCGAGAGGAATAAATTAATTGAAAAATTCTTATTCGTTGCGCGTTTCGAGATCTGCTGGAAATTTATTAAATCCAACTACATCTCGATGAGTTTTTCTTTCGAATCGAGCAAATTCAAATTCGTTTTTTTAATGTTTAATTGAGTAGGTAGGGAGTCGAGAATAAATAGGGAGAGTTGGTGTTACTTTTCACCTAAAAATTATTTCCAAATGCACCAGAATAAACAAAAAAGTTTGCAAACAGTATATCCAACTGCAGGTTTATGTGATTCACAAAACAAGCAAATTAATTCCCCCTAAACCTATTCAAATTTCAAATGTTCAAGTACTCACATTCCAACCTCTATCATTCTTTCCTTACATTATACGAGTTTATCTTCGTTGATGTTAACGAATAACTCCCAACTACGAAATTTATGACCCTTTAATGACCCGAGCTTGAGTAATATCGTCAACGATAACTGTTCCGCTTGACAAGTTAAATAACTCGTCCGGTTCACGGATTCGAGTCTGTAGCGCCGTAATTGAAACAATTAATTTAATAGGTCATTCCGTGACCCAATTCTCACTGCAAACGGAGTAGTGGAAATTAATTAGAACGCTAACTAACCGACGTCGTTCGATTCATTTTGTGTTCAATCAATAAACATTCTAACCCGAGCGTTAACTAAATGCAGAAGAGAAAATTATATCGACTGGGACTCTGCCTGTAATGGCAAATAAAGTACACCATCAATCTGCGAGTAAATAAATACCTTATCAATATTTGCACTTTATAAACAATTACCGATTGTTCTAGCGCATGCACGTGCAATTTGCGTCACACCTGACCGGCTGTTTACTTTTACTTATTTACTGCAAATGCCCATTTGACCGGTCCACTGTATTGGGTTCTCGAAGAAAACGTAACCACGGGGCAATAAATCTGGTTAATCGCAATCGGAGCGCCGCTCACCCGTGACATCTAGATAAATATTTAATGATCGAGGAATGCGTCGCGGAAGAGCTAATTTAACAATAGCACGGTGTCCGATGTCGCTATTACTACAGGTAATTGTAGGTTAAAGGTATAGAATATTTTTATTGGCGTTTCTAAAAGTTTTTTCATAAATTTATAAGTATAGTTTAAACGTAATTTTCTTATACAAGTTGCTGTGATTTTGGTTTTCGGGTAGGTTCAAATTATATATTTAATAGGATTTTGTTTCGTTTTCGTTTCCCTATTTTCTCTACGAATGAAAAAACAACTTGCTGACGCACGTACGGCGCCATTCCATCGCCGGAGGGCTTATTTCCCCTGTGTTTCTCTTCGCAAAATTCCACTTAAACAATCTCAAAGTTGTTTACTGTCAAAATATAACTTATGGTGATTTCCCCGTTGTTTGTTTGTGTGTAGGTGTATACAAACTCACGTTAAAATTTATCAGTTTTTGATATATTATCAAAAAAATGCCAATTGGAAATTGCACCGAACAAATACAATCAATTAATATTTATCCGTGTAGTTGATGTGCAAATTGCTGCGCCATTAAAATTTGTAATTACAAATAACAGGACATACATATGAACATGAGAGTGCAACAACTTGTAACATATCCACACACATTACACTTTTTTTTTCTAATCGAAACTATTAACATTCCTGCCTGGTGTGTAGTGCGCGTAAAAACACTGTCGTTTAAACTCTTACTTTAAATTATTCTACTTCTATGTTTACAGGGTTGATAGCATAATTAATGAGAGAGATCTAGTGCAAACAATTTTACTTCCCTTTGAAGATTTTATGTAGTTCCCTTTTTTAAACGTTTTAAGCTAGTTACAATCGCCTCCCTACAATCCAATCAAGCTCAGCGTAATATTAGCACGAAAATGAAATTTAAAAATTAAAAACCTAGTTACATGATGGCGACCCTTTTAATCAAATGCGACTACCCAACTTTCGCCTAATTCAATAACGATCCAACGAAAGAACATCGCAAAGACGGACGAACTTCGGATTCGATTAGACGTAAATTGAGGCAGGGTACACTCCCCGGATGCCGCAGGAAAAAACGGGACCTTTTAGCGAATTTTAGGAGTTGCTCCTTTGAAACGCTCTTAATCCATAGTCTGAATGTAAAACGTCGTTAAATTCGAGAAGCTGATTATGTTATTGCCACTTTCAGGGCGGCTTTTGCGCCCTTTTGCCTCGTAAAATCGGTCATTATTGGGGAAAATTGAATAGGAATGAACCACTTTGCAATAAGCGTTAAGAGGAAACCGATAAAAATGAATTAAACCTACTCAAGCGGTTAATAAAAGAGAGAAACGTTCAAGTACTAAAACGCATTAAAGTGGATTTGAAATGATTTTTTACACGTTACTAATATCTGATTAAAGATTGCGTAAGATTTACGTAGATATCAGGACGAATGACAGGAGTGTTGTTTTAATGAAAGCCTTGTTAAGGTTATACAATCACATCAGTAGTTTCGAATGATATACTTGCAGAGGAAACGACATACATTTTACATGCGGACTTGTTTATAACGCGGACAAGTTGTTAAGGTTTCGAATAAATAAATCTTTTATTAGAAACCATTTGCTACAGTTCCTCGAGATATACGTTCATACAGAGTGGACAGATTTTCCTCTAAATACTTTTATAATGCACATTTTTATGTTATATCAGTCCGTTGACCTCCGCTTAGAATTTAAAAATAAGGCCTGTAAGTAGCTACTCGCATTCGATTTACTATTTTTAATTATACTTTTCTAATATTATCTCTAACAGCAGGAATCGAATCAAATGCTATAAAGATGAACCTAACAAAGGACAATACGGAACATCTTTTCGAGAAACTGCAAACCATTAATCCATTCTACTTATCTCAAAGACATGTAACAAGTGATAGTTTCCTCGATTTCGACGTTTATTTATTTCAGAACACCCGTAACATGTTCGCAGCTCACGTCGTCACCCGAGATGACCTCTTCTAGAACAATCTGAGTTTATTATAAAGTTTTAACGACCAATAGTCCTTATTTTATTTGCAAAAGGATGGCATGTATACTATGTATTTCTTCAACTTCCTAAATTCCCATGTTAATAAATAGTTATCTAAATGCGGAATAAATCCACCCTGTATTTTAATACTTGAACTTTATTTAAGAAAAGTTCATAAAGTGATAAAAAACATTAGGTATCTACTGTTTGAATATATTATATGCGTAGATATAATTTCAGAAGTTTGGAATGTTTATTCAGCTTTATGGATACATCCATATCAAATCAACGTCGAACATTTACTGCGTAACTGAATTTCCAATTTCCATAATGATCTTCTGGTGTTCAATCTTCCGGCGTCAAACGCCGCATAATGAAATTTCGTAACACCAGAACACCGAAAGCCCCGGATGA